AAAATCTTCTATTTGGGTTTTTAATCAATATTTTCGGGTTTCCTAATGTGAATCCATATTTGTAGAGTGTAGTACGTACACCACGGCAGTGCAAAACTCTTGCACGTACACTGGAATGGTTTACCGTGCATTCCTGCTGCACTTACATCTCGAGCATCCACAAGCTTTACAGTCAATATCGCAGAAGGAATCGAGCAGCGATTTGAGCAAAGTAGAAATCAAAGACCAAATAAGTGAGCCACGACAAATATAGTTTTGCAAATTTCTTGGGATATGTGTGATTGGCGTCGTGGCATAGGGGTTGCATATATGGAGCGCAATACATATTTTCGGCTGAGCATGTGACATCGGAATGTATCGCGACCTGCATACAAAGGCTATAGAGATCCGAGTGGCTTACACCACTGTAAACGTTACTCTTGTGGTCATATCTCGGACCAGACAGTGATTCGAAATGCTGGGTAAGTTCTCCCGCTTTGGAGGCATAAAGATTTATAGATGTTGTCGGAATTGCACTCGATTTCATATGGCCTATTAGGCCGAAATGTTCACTATACCTCCCAGATGACCACTGTTTGAAGATATTCGTAAAGAATGAAAATTGATCGGCCAACGTTTTTGGTGGCATCGGCGATATGTGCGTTAGATAGTTCAGTAATGTGGGCAAAATTGACGATGCATTGCCACATATTACTTTTAATACATTGGATATATGACTCCCCTGCTTCGTATGGGACGCCGACTCGGTCAGATCCCAAAAGCCCATCGGGGTAACGCACTGCTGTCCAGGTGATGTCGTAGGACATGTCGAACAAATAGAGTTGCAACCAATGGAAGATAATTTGTGAGGTAGGTGACCAGGAAGACAATCGTTTAGGTAGGACTGAAGAGGCGATTTTGGTTGACAGTTTGGTTTGCAATTTGGCTGGCCATTTGCCTGGCACCTAGGTTGACACGTAGCTTTGTCGGTTGAGTGGTCGGTACATGGCCAATTTGATGGTGCAATGCCCCCGCCGTACCAGCAATCACGCCAGCCGTTGCCTTCGCCTAAAGTGTTCTGACATTGCGAATACAAAAGTAGAGTGAACGCTGCAGACGTGTACATATTTGGATTAACATATCTAATAAGTCAGAAACCTTCGAAGGATAATGGAAGTTCTTATAATTGTCTAGTAAATTGTAGGCATATGGGTAGTCAGCGGTTTGCGAACCGTGACCGTGGCCCTGTATTGCGGTGAGGACATCGTAAGCATTTCTACAGGCTGCAGTGACGCGAAGGTCTATATTCGTAAGCACGGTTTTAAGGATGTCATCATTATTATATTTGTCATCATCAATTAAGTCTTTACAATGCTGCTTAATTTTTGTCGACACGGTGGTATACGGCAAACCACCAAGCCACGCCAACATGTCTCTAACTGTGCAGGGTATTTAGCACTTGACGACGACGTGGTTCTAAGGTGAGAAACCTTGTAATATAAAGTGAGGAAATTGTTAAGATGATTAAGGACGCTGTCATTCTTGCTATTCGTGAGCCCACTGAGAAGTGTCTTAATTTTCTCGCCGTTAGTCTTACTGTCATTGAACAATTCACCGTCCTGCTTCTCAAATTCCGTTGCTAATATGTAACCGTAGTCTTGCAGAGCATCGCCTAGAAAGGCAGCATGTGCATTAATTTGATCTGCAGCGGCGTCGTTATCGTCTATGTCATAGAACAGTCCATACAAATCACGGTGGAATGTTTGAATTATGCTCATTAGAACTTTCGCACATTTCTTGGCATCATCGGTGAACTCATTAGGTTTACTGACTCTAGTCCATCTTATCGTTTGACAGGAATACCTACTGACATATGCGTAATCTAATTGTGTGTCGAAGTCTGTCATCGCTGTTCTCACTATGTTGAGAAGCTTGGGATGGATTCCTTCGCCAAACTCTGTGGCTCTTAACTCTTTCACCGATTCTACTAGTGCGGCTAGATTTTGCTTAAAAGTGTCATCGAAATGCTGTGAAGTGGTTAACTTGCTAAGTAATGTCTCCAGCTTATTTTTAATGCCAGTGACTTTGGTAACGTGGGGATCTGGAGTCTGAGGCTGGGATCTAGGAAGTGAAGTGGGAGGTTGAGACGACGCCTGCGTGCTTGTTGGCGTGATTTGCGTTATAATATAATCAAACAATGGTATGAAGAAATCTTGAACTTTTATTACAAGCGGGGAATTGTATTTTTTCGTCCAGTCTATACGGCAGATCAGTGTGACGCATTCCGTTAATACATGTCTTCATCTTCCCCAAGAATCCCTTCACCCTGTTGCTTTATCCTCCGCAATAATCCTTCCAATCGCCTCCAACTGCGCCGTGACGACGGTCTCTGCAGCTGCGCCAGCTCGGCCTGCTTCTGCTTCGCGAAGAGGACGTGAACTTGGGCAGTGATGGTTGAAAGACGGAGGAGACTTTTGGGTGAGGTCTCGTAATTCGGATATAGATAGTGTAGCATTATCTTTCGTAATGAGAACCGTATCTTCAATTGACTTTATGGCGATCTCCAACTGGCTTTCAACGTCATCGACAACTGGGGTTATTTCTATAATCATACTTTTAACTGTCTCAACCTCCTCCCTCAAAACACTCATCAATTCGTTTGCAGCAACTTTAGCATCATCCACAGCGCCCGGCAACTTCTCCAGTTTGCCGATCGTTTCAAGCACAATACTCAAGGCAGCCTTATACGTCACTTCGGCGTCGACATACGTAGGAATATGTTGGATAATTATTCCATTATTAGGGTCGAATTCATTCTCAAACCTTTTCGAATCTCATCAATCTGTTGTCTGAACGTTCCGGTGCCGACTTTTGTCTGCTTCACGTAATCTGACATGAGACCACTTCCATCATCTGAATCTGAATCTGAATCTGTTCAGGTCGTATTGGGTCTTTCTCACCATTACCATCTCAATCTCGTCATTCAGCATCTTATCAATAATGTCATTTATATCATTTTTTAGGGTGGAAGTAAGCTGAGCAAAAGATGCCTTCGTGTTGTGGTCGAAAGGTGACTCACCACTCTGTACTTTATTCACGTAGAACAAAATGTACTCTATAATTTCGGCAAAGTTCTTTTTTCATTGTCTACAACTGCGGTAGTAACTTGTGTAAGCTGAGCAAGCTGTTGCCTAAACGTATCTAAGTTTCCTAAGTCGCTTCCCAACAACAGTTTGCAACGCCTGTAGACCGGGCCTGGTACCATTTTAAAATCGTGCTCATTAGCTGCCGTAATGCTACTCTGTAGATATCCTCCCAGCTGTTCCGTAATAAATGACTTCAGCGTAGTCTTAAGGCTCTCCCTCACCCTCTCTAATCCTGCTGTGACATGAGCATCTAATTTTGTGAGACCATGGAGAACACTACCCGCATCATCAGTTTTCCAACCTTACTCGTCACATGCTCCCAAATCGCCTTTAATTTTGCTTTACATGCATCGTCCATGATTCGAACCTGGATTTCATTTACTTTTTTGTTTCAGCTTGGATTGTTTTCCAACGGGATCGGCATTTGCGGTATTAATATCATCCATTTGTTCTTTTAACCCAGTAAATAGCTTCTCAATCTTTATCCTATACTCATTCTCAAATCTCTCAAGCAATCCACTTGCTGCAATTTCGGCTTCGGTCACAGAAGCCTTAATCTGCTTAATTTCATTCTTCAATTGCACAGTTCTAAACGTAGTCAATTCACTCTGCAGTTTCTCAAAACCACTATTTAGCACTTCCTGAACATTTTTTGATTGATGTTCAATGGCATTATTCAAAACGCTTCTTTGAGTCGTAAGCGCGGTGTCCACTGCCCGGGCCTGATGTTGAAGTTTGCCATCTGTGTTAACGGATTTAAAGTTTTCAGCGCCCTGCTTAAGCAGACTTACAGGCTTATCGAGCTTACTTTTCAACACATCATCTAGTTGGCCTGCAGCCTCCACGGCTTCGCCTGCCTTCTTATCGAAGAACATAGCTCTAATGGACACGTCATGTAACTGGTCAGTCAAATTCATATTAAGGAATCAGGTGACTTTACGTGTGATTTATAAGTGTCTATTTGTGATTTTATTGTGCTTATATCATCTACAACCTTCTTACTTTTACTCGTCAATCCACTCTCATACCCCTGAAGCCCCGCCTGCACAATCCCAATGGCCTGCGCAAATCCTAAAACACCAGAGCCCTTACCTATTGCGTTCCTTAATGCACTAATAGTACCATCAATATTATGATAGTGATTTATAAGTGGTTGACAGCCCTTAAGACATTGGAGAAGAAAGGACATCACCCCGTCGCACAGCCTGTCAAGGTCAGAGTACACGATGCCGGAGCCGGTGTAATTACCATTACTGTGGCCGAGAAATTTTTCGAATATTGCAAAGATTATGTTGTTAAGTTATTTTGCAAAACTTTATTTCAGGGCGATTTAAGGGAGTTTGGGAAAGGCAGATTTTAGGCGAAAGAAGCAAGGGCAGTGAGGAGGTGAGTGGGGAGGAGAAGAGGGGCGAAAGAAGAGACGATGAGAATGGAGTTGGGAAAAGGTTTTGGAGAGTGGAGAGGAAAAGCGGAAAATAAGGTCTGGATTAAGAACATAAACAAGGTGATGGAAGAGAGCAAGGAGAAAACACAGTGAAAAGAGAGGAGTCGTTGAAGTGGGTAAGTATGTGGTTGAAGTGAGTGGGTGAGTAGTTAGAGTGAGTGGTAGTAGGTAAGAGTGGAGTGAGTGGTGAGATATGATGAGTATGTGGGTGGTTGAGTGGGTGAGTGGTTGAGTTGGGTTGAGTGGGTGAGTGGTTTGGTGGGTGAAGCACGATCACGGTGAAAATGACGTTGCCGAAACTTGGTGACGCGTGCGCAGCGAGGACTACGGTGGCTTGAGGCGATCTGTTGAGGCATATCCTCAGGACGTCGAGGCGGACGACGGCGATGTGCAGCAGGTACAGGAGCGACAGCGACCAGAGGGCTAACAATGTGATGGAGAAATTCTCTCTTATCTTCCAGATGAATTTGTTATATCATGGATAAGGTCAACAAGAACGCAATTTTTACCTATTACTCTTTTCAATGCCTGGCAGAAATCTTTGCACGTTCTTTTCTGCCTCGCTTCCTTATCTTGTCCGCTTAGTTTATTAGCACTCCAGAACGTAAAACCGAATTTATGAAGCGTAGGATGCATATTCGGGCATTTCACAATGGAGTGACATTGTTTTTCGTGATAGGCATTCTTGAGTGTCTCGGAAGAATTTTCAGCATCGTAAGCTGATTTCACTTTGCAGTCCTTAGAACAGCATTTATCGTAGCATCGGCTGCCCGGGTTGTTGCAGTTACTACAGCAGTCATCGTATAATTTCTTAAGTAAATCGTAGAACGTTTCCGTCAGGTATACGATCCATGAAAGATAGTTGGCAGTGTGCTTTTCAGAAAATGTATCGCGAATATCTAGATAGAGGGGCTGCAAATATTTGCCACATGGCAGGCCCGAATTAGTCTTATGATAACAATCTGTGAGACTGAAAAGGTCTCCTTTGTCATGTTTGTCGGAGTGGGTCTTGCTAACTTGGATGGAAGTTGGGTGTAAGTCTGTGTACGTTTGTCCGAAATTGGCTTTCTCGACTGCTTCAATAAAAGCATCATGCTTGTGCAGCTTAATATTTATCGCAGTCCAGTTCTTAAGGAACTGGTGGTAAAAGGCAAACATATCGCCAAGCGTCTGCGGTGGTCGGCGAAGGAGGAACGAGAGGTAAGAACACAACTTATTGAGGTTTGAACCTGTGCCGCAGAAATAGGCAAGTTCTGCCCTGAGATCTTCACCTTTCTGCGTGCGTGAAGCTACATTGCTAATATCGGTAAAGCCCATTGGTGTTTGACACGGGATACCTCTGTGATTACTCAGAGTACATTCCAGCTTGCAACCGGGCGTCTTAAAGGAATGTGGCAGGAACCCTGACAAACCGTCCTCTAAGAAGGATTGTAACGGTGACTTGACACCGCAGATAGGGTGTTGGTTACATATTTGGTTGGCATTTTGGGTAGCACCTTGGTTAGCGTTTAGCTTGCACGCTTGGTTATGACATTGCACATCATTGCACTGGAATGAAGAGCCGCCGATGTGGCGACCATACCAACACTCTTGCCAACCACCGCTCTTAGGGCCGTTGCGACACTGCGCCCATAAGAAATTAAGTTTATAAAATACTCTATTTAATATATCTTCAAGCATATCTAAACATGATGCAGCGCTAGTGGGATACATTAAATTATCTGAGTTACAGCTAAAGTCAACGGCGTAGATACCATCGGCGTGGCCGTGGCCTAGGAAGGTGATGAGAACCTTCCGTGAATATAAACAAACCTGTTCGAGCGTCCCTTTTAGCTCCTTAGGTGTGATTGTTGTCGTGCCAGCGGAGTCAATTGGTGACGTTCCAACTAAGCTAAGATCTGTATCGGACAATTCTTTGTACAACTTTTCTTTCTTATCCTTCGGCTTCTCGAACAGCTCCTTGAAATGCTCACTGAGTTTGTCATACATGTGATTCCACCGCAGACCGGCGAGCCATTGTAACATATGATAGATGTTGGACGGTGCTTTAGGTGAAAGGATATGCTCATGTTGGCATACTGCATAGTACTTTCGGAAAACATCGCGAAGAAAATCGGCAATGTCGAAGAGAGAGATTTCAATGTTGTTCTGCCTATCACTAGCAATTTTATATTTCTCAATCTTCCACGTTTTGAGGACTGGAATGCTGTGCGCGGCGGCAATATTCTCCGTGATCTTGCCAAAAATATATTCACCGTTTCGCTCTTTGTTCAACTCTCCATTTTGGTTGTCCTTGTCTTTCGGCACCCTGAAGCCACGGTTCTGGAACCAGTGGCCGAGGTCATTGGGAACTTGCTGAGTTTTCTTATCCTGCTCAATCAAACACATTTTCTTTTCATGCCATTTATTCTTACCACCGGATTTACATTCATTTTGCAAATCATACATATCTTTTTGCAGCCCCTCCATAATCGTCAAGCACACCTTCGCATACTTCCCTTCGTCCTCCGGCTTCCACTCCTGCAGCGAATACCTGCTGACGTACTGCTTCTGCAACTCTTTTACAAATCCCTGCAGTCCGTCTTTCAGCGCCCCGAGTACGGGCCGTCCTGCGTCCGGGAGCGCTAGGGGTTGGAGGTTGGAGACTTTTTCGGATAGCGTGGCGAGCCTGTGGGAAACTTCGTTGGAGAAATGGGAATGCTCGATGAGTCCAGTGAATAAATTCCTCAATACCCAGAACAGCAATTTAACATGACTGTGGATTTCAGCCTGCTCTCTCAATTGGTCCTTGGCGTATGCCACGATTTTGTCGAAGAACGGTGAAATCTTGGAGGCAAGGGACATCATATCGTTAATTTGTCCTGGCGTTTTAAGTGGATCAATATTGATGCCTTCTTTCAACCAGTCATTCATATTCCTTAGTAAACCTTTGATTCCTGCATTTAAATTACCATCTATTTTGCTTTTAATTATGGAAACATTGCTATTAACGGCCTTCTTCATCGCTGCAAGCATTTTATTAATTTTGTCGTGATACTGTCTTTTCGCGCTGTCTTGAATCTCTTTAGTTTTATCTTCCACTTCTTGGGTGATTAACTGTTTTATGAAATCTATGACTTCTACCGCTTGTTTTTTAATTACTTCATCGTAAAAATTGGTTGCTTTTTCAAGTATATCTGCCACGTTGCCCGTTGGATTGCTGTTACGTTTGTCAATCCCAAGGATCGCAATTATGTCTTCTTTGATCTTGGTGAGGCTGTGGACAGAGCCATCTACATCGGATGTAAGTTTATATTCGTTTTCACCATGATATGAGATCATATTCTGCAAGTCCCCCAAGTATGCACTTACAGAATCTTTGTCTTTTTCCGGCAAATCTTTTTTAACAAGTTCCTTAACAGCTGCGGTGAATTCATTAAGTCTAATCTCGAATTGACCGAATTGATTTGTAAATGTAGTATTAGAGAAGGCTTTCGGTGTAGAACTGGTGTCCTTGGCATTTGTCAAATGATCTAAGCCCTTAGTCTCTATCTCATTTATCTTCTCCTGAAGTGCAGTGTGCTCGGAGTTATAACTCGTGAACTCCGCAGGGTTGACCTTGTATTCACCTGGCTGTGTTAGACCTATTGGCGTAATGCCAGCAGTCAAGTCTTCCCTTATATCTTCAATATCCTTCTTAAGAGTTCCATTACTATTCGTGGTGGTCTGGTAATGAAAGGTGGTAAAAACTGCAGCAAATGATCCACCATTTATTAACTCCTGCATAGCTGCCGTAACTTGCTTTTTAAGGTCGGCGATGAGAGGAGTGAAGAAATTTGCTGAACCATGGTTTTCACTAATTTCCTTTAAGAAATTTTGAAACGCTTCGAAATCATCGCTGTCCCCAGCTCTGTGTAGCTTATTTATGGCATTTTTAAGTCCGTTACTGCTTCCCTTCCCAGCCCACGCCGCCAAAGATGGGGCATGTTCTAAAATTTTACCCCCCCCACCATTTTTGTCGCCATTAAACGCATCAACAATGTAGGTGGCATCTCCACTACTAGACGTAGGAGACACGGCTTCCCCAGCATTCCTAACCGCTGCTTCCAAATCCTTAATCACCTTTCCGATTGCTGGATTAATCTTATTTGTTTCCAAAGCCGTCAACCCTGCTTTAACCTCTCTATGCAGATTTTCAAGCTTACCCAGCGCACTTTGAACACCCCCATGCACCTTTTTAGCGACCTCTTTTATTTTGCTTTTATACACACCTTCAAACGTTCTAACCGCCGATTTAATACTTTCACTCAAACCGTTAAGCCCATCCTTCGCAGATGTGACAGCCATCCACAGCTTATTAGCATCTTCCTGTAGTTTCTTGGCGGCATTTGTAACATTCTCTTTCTCCGCAGTTTTATCCCGATCTCCATTCTGACCTTCAAGAATTTTCATTATTTTAGCTACCTTCTCTATCGCCGTATTTACAGCTTGCTTGCTTTTCTCTATCCAAGTATCCAAATTTGTTTTAGCAGTGGTCAAAGCACTATTAACCGCAATAGTAGGTTGGTGAATTTGTGCTTCAAATTTAACATTAACATCGCCCGCCATCTGCTCTAGGCGACCTTTAACACGTTCATTTACATTGTCTCCCAACTGATTAATTTGACCCTGAATGAACACCAACAGGTTGCGCAACTCCTCATTCCGCGCCGCCGCCACAAACTTCTCCACCTCTACTTCAATTTTACTAACACTATCTTTCAACTTATTTTTAAGTGAACGGTCAAGATCATTGTAATATCTTCCTCCCAACATGAGAACGTCATGAAGATTTTTTGCCTCATCGCAGCATGCCTGTAACAAGTCAGGAACATAACGCAGAGAATCGCCATATATATTATTGAGTTTCTTTAGAGAGTCATTGATATAATCAAAATTCCTTGTTTGAATATCATTGAGAACATTTTTAAAATTTCCAACTTTTTTTTCTAATTCCTCATTCCACCTCTTGGCAGATTCTGCAACTGCTTGAATGGCATGCTCAAAATCCCTGGAACCAGAATACATTTTACGCTTCAAAACAGCAGGAAGTGTCTTGAAATGTTCATTAACATCATACTTTTCAACACTGTCATCACCCTTAACACTCTCCAACACCCCGTGCAAAAACGCCACCACCCCGTCGCACAGCCTGTCAAGGTCTGAGTACACGATGCCGGAGCCGGTGTAGCCGTTGGATTTATTATCGTACCCTAAGAATGTTTGGATACCTGTGCACAACTTATCAAGTAAATCACGTGGATTATTTTGTGAAGATGGAATTTTGTTAGCATATCCACAAAGCTTCTGCAGTGTATCAAGAGACTTCTTGGAGGCATTATGAGACTGGAGATCCTTGTTAAGCTTGTCAATTTCAGAGGCATTTTTAGGGGATTGATAGGCAATTAAAAGAAGTAAAAAGAAGGTGAAATGGCACATTTTTGGATGATTTGGGGGATTTTGGAGAAAGGCGAATTTAGGTCAGGGAGGCAGTGAGGGAGGTGAAGGGGCGAAAGAGGGCGATGAAGGAGGAAGATGGGTTGAGGTAAGGCGGTTTGGGAGGTGGAGAAAGAAAAATGAGATTTAGGCGAGACACCGACGGAGGAGGAAGGATGGATGGAGTGGAGGAGGGCGAAAGCAGAATAAATGAAAGAGGTAAGATGGGTGGGTGGTTGAGTAGGTGAAGTGGAGTGAAGTGAATTGGGAGTGTGAGTGGTTGAGTGGGTGGTTGAGTGGGTGAGTGAGTGGTTGAGTGAGTGGGTGAGTGGGTGGGTGGTTGAGTGGGTGATTAGGTGGGTGAGTGGGTGAGTGGGTGGGTGATACACAGATCACACGTGAAGGCACGACTATGGTGAGAAGTACTTGACGTTGGCGAGTGCCTTGACACGTGCGGCGGCGAGGAGGGACTGTGCGGCGATGCGGTGGCTTGAGGGCGATCTCAGGTGGGAGCGTATCCTCAGGACGTCGAGGCGGACGACGGTGATGTGCAGCAGGTAGAGGAGCGACAGCGACCAGAGGGCTAATAATGTATTCATGAATGGTGATCTGATGCAGTATATGAATTCGTCGCACTCTTTAAATAGGTTCCTGAAATGGTCGCCGTGTAGAATTGTCGACAAGATTGTCTGGAAATTGTAGCATCTCTTTACATGTGCATTTTTGTTCAATCTTGATGCTGAACCAAATGTGAATCCATTGCTATACAGTGTAGGCGATACGCCTCTGCAGCCAACAATCGATGAGCACTTACAGGATGTTGCCGTTTTACCATGCTCACCGCGTCGACATTTATCGGCCTGTTGACACCCATTACATGCCCAATCCTGACAAGCGATATCACAGAAGGAAACGTATAGATTGTTGAGTAAGTCCCAAAATGTCCAAGGTAAATACAATGCCCAGGATAGGTAAAGGTTGGCGTGTTTCTTGGCCAGATAGTTGTAGGCGTCGGTGGACAACGCATATAGGTAGGGAGCACAGTCTATCTTTCTGGCTTTCCCTTTACAGCAGTCAGTGGTTGTAAGGCCCCTAAGGTGTGGATTTTGACATTCCGAGTGAGTAGCGGAGGAAGATCCGTAAGCTGCGGTGAGAGCATCGGTGAGTTGAGACGGATCGACATATAACTGGATGGACTGATCAGTAATGGATGCTACGACATCTGACTGCAATGACCCTTTGTTTTCGTCTGGTTGACCATTACGCCAACCACTAACTATGGACAAGGCAAATCCTAAGTGCTCCGGTAGTGTAGTCGGAGGTTTAGGGGCCAGACAGAATAAGGCTGTAAGATAGAAATCGTCGAAGAAGTTTCTAAGCACTTTACATAGTTCGTTACCATGCTTCGGACTGCCCGAGAAACCGCGGAAGCCGAGGGGCGTGAGACAGTGCATTCCTCGTTTACTACCAGGGCACGTTAAACATTTGGGAGTGCAACCGACAGACTGCAATTGATGAGGTAAATAACCATGCAAGGAGTCAGTTAGGTAGGACTGAAGCGGGGACGTTGGTCGGCAGTTTGCTTGGCAGTTTGCCTGGCACCTAGGTTGGTCAGTTGGTTGGTCACTTGCTTTGTCAGTTAAGTGGTCATTACATTGCCAGTTTGATATTTCGACAGCTTGGCCGTAGAGGCAGTCAGCCCATCCGTAATGATCAGGCCGACGATTGCACTGGGTATGCAAAAACCTCAGTGGCGGGAACAATTTTTAAGGATGTCAATGAGTAAATCTAAGCATTCTGAACCGCTAGAGGGATATTTAAATGTAAAGGAGTTGTTGAAGTAGTCACAGGAGTAGGTGGTAGAAGCGTTGCCGTGGCCTACTATACTGGTTAGGACGGAAGCGGATTGCAATGTGATATGTTCGATGACATTTTCCAGATGTTGAGCGCCGAATGCTCTTGGGAACGCATCCGTGTAAGGTAACTCATTACCAGATTGCGCATCCTTCGTCTTGACTGCTGTTTTTATGTGCTGCTTAAGCGCATCGTACGCACCGTTATGGCGTAAACCGGAGCACCATGCGAGCATTTCGTAGACTGAACATGGTAGCTTATTAGCGGAGAATGTGGAGATGTGACCGACTTGGTAGTAGGCAGGGAGAGAGTCGACAATCGTATTAATCGCATGCCTAGTGTTTTCAACAGAAGGGAAAACACGAGGATAATCACCGACAAGGCATCCGACGACTTTTGTTCCGTTCATCCCTTCTTTGTTTTGCAACTCGCCGTTCTGTTTATTATTGTCGGACACTACGAAACCATTATCGGAGAAGAATGTCCCAAGCTCCGTGAATTCATTAATTTGATCACCTCTCCAATCCACCTTGCACCTCTTTCTCAACTCACTCAAATTTGTGTTCAGGATGGAAAACACGCTGAGAAAATTTTAGCAGTCATTTTACTCTCCTCCGTTGGATTATTCGAAAAATGCTCCTGCCACGTAATCGGCTTAGACCCCTCATACCTATTCACGTACCCCCTCTGCAGCTGCTCGACGAAGCGCACCAGGCTCTTGGGGAAAGCGTCGAGCACGGGTACGCGGGATTGGCGAAGTTTGTGGAGTGGAGTGCTTGGACGGATGTCTTGAGTTCCGCGAGCATTCCGGGGACCTGGTGGGTGAAGTGTTTTTGCTCGGACAGGTGGGAGAGGAGGGTGGTCAGAGCGGAGTGGATGGACTGGAGTTGGGGGGAGTATTGGGAGTTGGGGAGATGTTTGGGGAGGTCGAAAAGAGTGAAATTGAAAATAGGCTCCAAATAGGCTCTAAAAATGGATGCGCGATTTTCAAATTTATGTTTCGTTGCCATGTCTTGCAGCCTCTCATGATTTTCTTTCAGAGTCTTGAGGAGGCCTTTGAGGCCGGTGTTCAAATCGTCGTCGATTATCGTTTTCACTTTGGGAATTTTGGTGTCAACCAACGATATCAAGGCAGTCAGGTGGGATTTGTGTCCTTCGGCAAAAAGCTTCTGGACTTCATCAGTCACCCTTTTGAAGGCGTATTCGGTGGTTTCGAGAAGCGTTTTGTTGAGTTGTTGTACGGTGAGCTTGATATCCTCTTCAGCCTTAACCGCAGCGCTATAGACAGAATCAATGGTCTTGGTCAACGCATCGTCTGCAGAAGTGAGATTTAATTCGAACTCGATAAGCTTGTTTTGAATTTCATTTTTCAAACTGTTCATAAGCTCATCGGCCTTAGTCTTCCTACTTTCAATGCTATTTGTCTCGTCTTTCACATTCTGCAGCTTATCAAGCTTATCAAGAACATCTGTCTTAATATCTCCAATACCCTTGCGAATTGACTCATCGCCACTTTCATTAACTAAATATCTATCAAGTGATTTAATCTTACTCTGAACGGTTAACAATGCGTCATCAATTTTTTTGCCGACGCCATTGTTGTACTCTGACGCCTTCTTGCTGTCAATTTGCTGCTTAATTTTATCGACCTCTGCTATAGCCGCTTTTAGTTTAATACCGAGGTCATACTTGCTGATGGTGTCAGAGGTGAAAGATTTTAGTTCCTCGCCAACTTGCAGAGCCGCACAGTGGACGGCGGTCAGAATTGCTTTCACTGCGGGTTCGAGTTCCGTTTGGCTGTTAGGGAGTGGACGGCCACGCAGAGTCTGCTGGAACTGCAAATGCACGTACTCCACCATCTCACCAGGTTTATCTGGATCAACTTTTTTGGCGAACTCACTGAAAAACTTCTGGATATTTCGGAGATGATCTTCAACGGTTTCATTAAATGTGGGTGACGTCGTGACGTGACCTGCCATTGTTTTTATCCATGCAGTTACTATGAATTTTAGCTTTTCTACCGCAACCACATTATTCCTGAGACTACTCCCAATATAGGTTGCAACTAATCCCTTAACCGGCTCCTTGTCGAAGATTCCATTTAACCACCCTGCAACGATTTGGGTCCCAAACATCCCATGTTTATTGAACTTCTTAGCATACCCTTCGATTGCCTTTACGATGGCGTCAAGGTGGCCGGATGTTTGGTTGTCGTTGACGATTTGACCGACATCCCATGCTATTTGGCTTTTTAGCGCTGCCCAATTATGTTGTATGCTGGGATCATCTGTACTTTTTGACACACTCTCCTGTGTATTTGTTTTCAAAATTAAAAATTCCTCTTGAGCTTGTGTAACTAGATGCACAAGTTGCAGTCTCTTGGTGGTTAATGCATCGTAGGCATCATTGACTTTATTTTGTATTTCGTTGAAATGGCTCCAAATTTTGTTTCTGTAGTCGTTGTTATATTTTTCATCAACGAACCGTTGAAATTTCTTCAATGTACTCTCCATAATATGGAAATGCCATTTTTTACTCTGCCTAAGACCACGAATGTGTTCCAGAACATTATCAAATTTATCTTTTAATTTTGTCTGAAGTACGCAACACTGCTCGTTTGTGTTATTTAGAATCAATGTTCTCTGCGCCAGCAAGTGCTCATCGACACGCCTCACCTGCGTCTCCATCTGCCCATCGAAGGCGACACTTCTCATATGCTCTACCACACTTTTCACAGGCATGAATTCATGCAATACACTACTTTTAAGTGAAATATCTAACACATTAATGTTATCAGTTAGAATATTATTGACCTCAGTTTCGAGGCTTTCGACCGTCGACCGCCAAGCAGTCAACTGGTCGGTGAGTGAAGCACTAATCTTCTCATTTACTTGTGTGACATATTTATTACCTAAGTGATCACTAAGTTCGCTAAGTGATTTATTTACATTTTTTGTGCGCTTATTAAGTTCATCATCATAGTCATGAAGCACACGATTCACATGATCTATGCAAACACGAAAACCATAATCACCACGATGCATATGTTCTAAAATTTTATTAAGGTCTTTTTGTGATATAAAGCTATATGTGGAAACGCTTGGATCATCCTTAACACTCTCAAGAACTCCATGAAGGAAAGACATCACCCCGTCGCAGAGCCTGTCAAGGTCCGAGTACACGATGCCAGTGCCATCGTAGCCTTTGGAAGTTTCATTGTACCCTAAAAATGTTTGGAGACCTGTACACAATTTATCTAAAATGTTTTCACATTCTCCACTTTGAGGAGTTTGAACACTCTGATGAAATGTAATAAGCATTCCAAGACTTTCAAGAGACTCCAACGAAGCCTCATGAGACATCAATTTAGCCTGCTCAGTTTCAAGAGAATTGGAAAGATGATAGGGAATGGAGACATATTTTTTTGCTTTTTCAGCATCATATCCCTGTTTTTGAAAATCATCAATTTGCCTTTTACGCTCTGCTTCAATTTGCCTATCAAGCTCAGCAACACTCTTTTGACGGTTGGAGATCTCAGACTCAATTTTGCTTTTAGGCACACTTAAAGCATTTTTAAGCGCATTAATTTGCCTTTCACGGCTCTCCTTTTGCTTTTCAAGCTCCTGATTTTTTTGCTCAATTTCCTTTGTAAGCCTCTCAATCTCAGTATCACTGCCGGGCGGCGCCTTTCCAGGCGCCTTACTTTTTTCATCTTTCTGCTTATTAAGGCCATTAATTTTTGTTGCAATTTTATCAACCTCATTAAATTGATTTTGAAGATTTTTGAGAGGTCCATCACGGAAATTCATAATATTACAATTACACCCCTCCCCTCCGCAAGATGTTTTCAAAAGCTTTTCAAGCTGAGTTACATTACTGTGCAAACCATTCAAAATTGCATTTTTTACATCTTCACTCCCACCAATTAAACCTGAAAGCTGACCAGCGAGCGTACCAAGAGAGATACGACGTTCAGCAAGATCCTTCTTAGCTCCATCCCTTTTAGAGTCAGAGCCATGTACTTCGGAGTAATGGTCAATGTAGTGGGATTGAAGGTGGGTTAAGGGAGAGTTAAGAGGAGTAAAGGGAGGTGAAATGGCACATTTTCAGGGCGATTTGGGGGAATCTGGAGAAAGACGATTTTAGGTCAAGGAGGCGGTGAGGGAGGTGGGTGGACAGGGCGAGGGAAGTGGAGGGGCGAAAGAGGGCGACGGAGGAGGAAGATGGGTTGAGGTGAGGCGGTTTAGGAGGTGGAGGGGAAAGGTGGAAAATGAGGATTTGGGTGAAGGCGCCGACGGAGGAGGTGATGGAGGGGGGTGAAGGCAGGGAGCGAAGCGACCAGTGAAGGAGGGAGGTGAGTGGGTGGTTGGGTGGTTGAGTGGTGAGTGAGTGAGTGGGTGGGTGGTTGAGTGAGTGGGTGAGTAAGTGGGTGGGTGGTTGAGTGAGTGGGTGAGTGAGTGGGTGGTTGAGTGATACACAGATCACACGTGAAGGCACGATTATGGTGAGAAGTACTTGACGTTGGCTATTTTCCCTACGCGTGCGGCGGCGAGGAGGGACTGCGCGGCGATGCGGTGGCTTGAGGGCGATCTCAGGTGGGAGCGTATCCTCAAGACGTCGAGGCGGACGACGGCGATGTGCAGCAGGTACAGGAGCGACAGCGACCAGAGGGCTAATAGAGTGATGGAGAAGGGTGTTCTGATGGCCCATAAGTAATCTGGTATCATGATATGTATGAGTTTGGCGAGAAGTGTGTTGTCGGATATCTTATTGCTTAGAACTCTCTCAAGTGTTCTGCAAAAATCTTTACATGTACGCATCTTCTCAGGCCCATTCTTGTTACTTAGGTTGTATGTGCTCTCAGATACGAAACCAAATTTGCATATGGTAGGACGAGTAAATGGGCAATTAGCGATTGACTTGCAGTCTTTAGTGTGATGTTTATCTTCGAGCGTTTCTACGTCCGCTTTCATATCGGTGTATCTCACGGGGCACGTTTTGGCACAGCCTCTGTCATAACATCTAGTGCCTGGCTTATTGCAATTAGTGCAGCAATCGTCGTATAATTTCTTAAGTAAATCATAAAATGTTTCTGTCATGTAAACGATCCATGAAAGGTATTTGTCGGCATTCTTTTTAGAGAAAACATTCCATCTGTTCATGCCAAACGGCTGCAGATAACGGCCGCATATAATTTTCGACGTGTCGCCATAATCACATCTGTAGAGACTAAAAGGTCACCGATGTGATGGCTTTTGACGGAATGTTTGCTATTGAACCATATAGAATACACTTTTAATTCAGCATAAGGCTGGCCGAAGTACGCCTTGGAGACAGCCTCTTCAAACGCGTCTCGCTTATGCTCCGTCTTGGTGTTCCACTCACTAAGGAAATTGTAGTAGAACGAGAACATATCGTCAAGTGTCTGAGGCGCTCGCTGTAATAGGCATGTAAGTTGAGCGCAGAGTAGAGCAAGTGGATTATTTGGCCTACCACAGAAATCCGTTAGAACTTCTGCGAGATGCTCGCCCGTTTTCGTATGCGATGCTACATTACTAATATCACCAAATCCCATTGGCGTTTTACAAGGAAGTCCTCTGTGATTGGACACCGTACACGTGAGTTTACAACCGGGAGTTGTGAACGAATGCGGGAGAAAGCCCTGGAGACCGTCCTCCAAAAAGGACTGTAGAGGTGACTTGAGACCGCAACTGACACTTTGGTCACACTTTTGGCTACACTTTTGGTTGTGCATTTGGGTAGCACTTTGGTCACCTTGTTGGCCAGGACACTGCATAGCGTTACAACTCCAAGCGGAGCCGCCGACTCCCCTGCCATACCAACAGTCACGCCAACTGTTAGCGTCCGAAGTACGGCTACACTGTGTGAATACGAAAAAAAGTTGGTCATACACTCTATGTGATATGTCTATAAGCATGTCTAAACATGAAGCTGGGCTACTAGGATAGTCTAGTTTGTCTGCGTTTGTATAAAAGTCAACGGCGTATCTGCCATTTTCATGGCCGCGGCCGAGGATGGCGACTAACACCTTTTCGGCTTGGAAACAAACTTGTAATAGCATGTATCGTAATTCTTTAGGCGTAATGTTTGAGGTGCCAACTAGTTTGAGCTCGTCGTTTTGAAGTCGGAATACGGCACTTCCTCCCGCCCTTTAGGTTTAGGGAACAGCTCATTGAAGTAAGTGGTAACTTTTCTGAACATCGGATTATAGTACAATCCGAGGAGCCATTGGAGCATTTGGTGAATGTTGCTGGGTGCTCTAGGTGATGGATGATATTCTAGGTGAGTGACATAATAATAATCATCCAGGTAATTGTGAAGATTCCTCAGTGAGCCGTATTTATCTTTATCGGCATCTTTATGCCTGAAGACACGTTTGACTTCGCTCTCGCTGAAAAGTAATTCATGAATATTCTGACCGGTCATACACGCCTTGTCCTGCAAGTGACCAGTCTGCTTGCCTGTCTCGGAATTCACCGTGTATCCACACGTCTGGAAAAAATTCCGAGGGCACATCTCTATACGTATTGATTTGTAAACTTCTCCAATTACCGTTTTCCTTACAATTCTTCAGCAACCAACTCAGGTCGTGGAACACCCTCTCCAGTATGGTCAGGCAGACCTTGGCGCTGTTCCGGCCCTCGGTGGAAAGGAGTTTTTCGGTGGTTTGTTTGTCAGACGTCTGGGGTTCCAAGACATCACCAAGTGTTAAACCGGAGTATTTATTCACGTACGCGTGTCCGAGTTGCTGGGTGAATTGCGTCATGCCGCGCCTGAGGGCGTCGAGGAGAAGCGGGTTGTGGAAGCCGTGGAAGTTGGAGGGGAGAGGGAGGAGATGGAGTCATTTAATTCGGAAAGGTATGTAGTGGAATTGTGGTCAAAAGTGTATTTTCTATTTGTGTCCACATTATTAATTTTAATTAGGTAGTCAAGTAATTTGTCCAGTCGGACGTTAACGCTTCGTACCAATTGAGACTCTTTGGTAGGGGATTTGTGATGCCCTTCAAATTTAACTTGGAGTTCAGTATACGCCAGTAAATTATCGAGATATGATTTTGATTTTTCCGATAATTGGGATAATTTATCACGATACTGCTCAGCTTTCAGAGGTTCCTGAGCTGGCTGAGGCACGGCAGTTTTAAGAGCATCAAGTAATGTAGTTTGTGGCTTGTGGAATTGAGGCATACCTTCTTTATTTATACCAAACAGCATACCATTTACGCTTTTTAATAGGCCTTTTATTCCGGTCACTTTATCTTCATCAATTATTTTCCTCACCTCCGCCAATTTTCGCTCAACCAGCGTATGCAGCGCCGACAGGTCCGCGATGTGCTGCTCGGCGAAGAGTTTTTTGACTTGGTCGGTGACATTTCTAAAGGCCTTTTCAGTTTGCTCGAGTAACTGGGATTCGAGTTGTTTGATGGCATTGTTGATATCCCTTTCAGCCTCAACGGCGGTTGTGCCGAGGGATTCAATTGCCGACGTCAGGATTTCATTAGATGTGATCACATTCAATTTAATGCCTGTGAGGATCCCCTGAATCTCACTTTTCAACTCCTCCATTTTATCGGCCGCAGCTTTTCTTATTTTTTCGATACTTCCTTCAGTATTCACATCGTCATTTTTCAGTTTTTCAAGTTTAGCGATATCATTCCGAATATCCTTAATAATGCCATTTATTGAGCCCACAGCGCCATTTGTATCTAAAACTTCACCAAGCTCTTTGATTTTGGGCTTCACTTTCTCTATCGCCTCAGCAATCATGGCACCGTGAGCTGCGGCCAGCCTAGCAGGATCGAATTGCTGGCCGATATCTTTGACCTTGCCAATGGCCGACTTTAAATCCTTGCCGAGGTTGTATGAGGTTGCCGCCGATGTATCGGTTGTGAACTCTGTAAGCTCTTCTTTAACTCTCAGAGCTGCCGAGCGGACAGCGGTTAAGATGGTGGTGAGGGCTTTCGTTAGATGTGGGTCCGAAACGGAGATCGTACCTCTCGGAACAGATACCAACTCCTTATCGCCCTCAACTAGCTGGATGAAATTCATCATGTTACCGAGCTTCATTCCAATAGCCTCCGCGTATCCCTGAAGATACTCTTGGATACTGCTGAGACTGTCTTCGGCGTTATCGGTGATATTTATTTTGGTTGATGACACGGGTTCGAGCTTTTTTATCTGGCTCACTATCGCTGCTTTCAACTTCGTTAAATTCTGGGAGCTACTTTTAATAGACGTATTCAAATACATATGGACAACACCGTCATTTGCCATCATCTTATTAACCATATCCCCAATCGCCGGCCTAAATTTGTCGTCGAACCTCATACCATAATTCGTGAGGCCGTTATCAATTAATTCAAGGAAACCGACTTGAGCAATTTCAGCACCCTCTTCCGTACCGTTAAGTTCCACAACAAGCTTCTCAATTTTCTCCTTCAATACCCCGAAATAATGTTCTACACTTCCCTTACTGCCGCCAATCTTTGTATCGGCTACAGTGAAATGACTAACACCCTTAAACTCCTTCTGAGCATACGCTAACATATGTACAAGCTCCGTTTTCTTTTTATTTAATGCTTCATGAAGCTTACTGATCTCCCATTTAATATCTGTAAACATACCAACAATCTTAATCTTGTATTCTTCATCGAATTTTACCCCTCCGTCACCAAGCAAGTCGTCGGACGCCTTCTTCAACTGCTGACTAATAATGTCAAGGTGATGCTCTTTTTTGCTTTGCAAATCTCCAATTCCCCTCCAGACTTTTTTAAACGTCTCTCTTAATTCACTTCTCACTCTCTCAATCCCCGTCTTTATAACGTTCTCAATACCCTGCCTCTGAATCCTTAACTCACTGTCCACATGCCGTGCCTGGCTGTCAAGGTTCCCATCCCCAGCACTCTCCTTCAGCAACTGCACAGATTTCTCAATCGGCCTCACTTCATGCATCAATTTATTTTTCAATGTAGCATCTAACAAATTAACGCATTTGTTTTCTATATGTGTGACGTCTCCCGCAATCTTGTCCAGTGTACTCTTCCACTTGTCCAGTTGCTCTCCCAGTCCCTGCGAAGGATGAATTGTACTAAAATACTTACCTTCTAAATCCTTCCTGAGCCCATCTAATTCATGGGTAACTTGAAAAGTTGACGTGTCCACCTGCGTCCAATATTTCTTAAGCCATCCACTCACCTTTTCAACCTGCGCACCAAAGACACTGCGTCCCTGGCCAATTGAAGATTGGAGAATTTGAAGGACAGTATGTAAATCATCATCATTGTTTTTTAATTTAATGTATTTATTGTATGTTGTAACGCTCTCATCATCTTTCACACTCTCAAGAACACCATGAAGGAAAGACATCACCCCGTCGCACAGCCTGTCAAGGTCGGAGTACACGATGCCAGTGCCATCGTAGCCTTTGGAAGTTTCTTGGTAACCAAGAAACTTCTCCAAGCCGGAGCACAGGTTATTTAAAAGGCTTTCACAAGCATCATTATTATTACTACCAAGAGATTTAAAAGACTCATTAAGCTTACTCAGCCTCTGAAGAGCATCCAACTTGGACTGATGAGACTCATGAGACTTATTAAGGTCATCGGGGACAGACGTTTTTTGCTTTTTAAGTTGTTCTATCTCAGCGGAAAGAGACGCAATTTCTTTCTCATAATGCCTAATTTTACTGCTAAGCTCACCATCATTTATAAGCCCAGCAGACACGGCAGCGGGAGGCTGCACAGTCGAAGACGGAGACTTTCTAAGGCTTTTGAAGTCTTTATCACTGTCAATAATTGCGTCAATACCATCATTAATTGCTGTAGTAACTTCGTCACTTTGGCCAATAAATTGGCCAAGCTTCCCACTGAGCTCAGCAAGAGACACCATCCTGGAGTGGATGTCCTTCAACGCACTGTCCCTTTTGGACGTATTGTTGTGCACTTCACTTTGATGATTGCTTAAGTCAGATTGAAGTTTATTAAGCTTATTTTCATTAGGGTTGTTAGAATTTTTAAGAGTGTTAATTTTGTTGGTCATGTAGTCACAGTAGCTAGAGACTGACCAGAGGCCGACGAAGGAGGCCAAGAAGGGAGGTCAAAAGAGGTGAGAGAAGAAAGTGGAAAAGAAGTTAAAAGGCCATTAGAAGAGGTGAAATGGGACACTTTTGGACAATTTTAGAATTTTTTGAGAAAGGCGATTTTAGGTCAAGGAGGGAGCGAGGGGGTGAGGGAGGTGGGTGGACAAAGCGAGGGAAGTGAAGGGCCAAAGAGGGCGACGAAGGGGGAAGATGGGTTGAGGTAAGGCGATTATAGGGGTGGAGGGAGGAAGGTGGAAAATGAGGATTTGGGTGAAGGACCGACGGAGGAGGTAAGGAGGATGGGTGAGGCATGAGCGAAGCGACCAGTGAAAGAGGGAGGTGAGTGGGTGGGTGAGTGGTTGACTGGTGGTGGAGGTTGATGGGTGCAGAGTGAGTGGTTGAGTGGGTGAGTAAGTGGGTGAGTGAGTAGAGTGAGTGTTGAGTGGTTGAGTGATGCGGTAGTAAATGGAGTGAGTAAAAGGGTGAAGTAGAGTGAGTGGTGGTAGTCATGAGGAAAGATAAAAGGGTTAATGAGGGGTGATAAGGTGAGGGTAAATGGTGATGGGTGGATGAGTGGTTGAGTGGTTGATGAATTATTAAGTAAGATGCGAGTGGGTGATGAGTAGGGTGATGATGAGCGGTGATGAGTGAGGTGGGCGGGGGGTGAGTGGGTGATGTAAGAGTGGTGAGTATTGGGAAGTTGATGGTAAGTTGATGAAGTAAATGGGTAAGAGAAGGGTGAGGGGGATGGTAGATGAGTAATGTGAGTGTGGGAGTGATGGGTGGTTGATGGTTGTGAGTTATTGAGTGAGTAAGTAGATGGGTGGTTGAGTGGGTGGGTGATTAGGTGAGTGGTTGAGTGAGTATGTGAGTGAGTGGTTGAGTGGTTGAGTGGTTGAGTGAGTGGGTGAGTGGTTGAGTGGTTGAGTGAGTGGGTGAGTGGTTGAGTGAGTGGGTGAGTGGTTGAGTGGGTGAGTATGTGAGTGAGTGGTTGAGTGGGTGGTTGAGTGGTTGGGTGAGTGGTTGAGTGAGTGGGTGATTAGGTGAGTGGTTGAGTGAGTGGTTGAGTGGTTGAGTGGGTGGGTGATACACAGATCACACGTGAAGGCAGGATTATGGTGAGAAGTACTTGACGTTGGCGAGTGCCCTGACGCGTGCGGCGGCGAGTAGCGACTGCGCGGCGATGCGGTGGCTTGCGGGCGAGCGCAGGTGGGAGCGTATCCTCAGGACGTCGAGGCGGACGACGGCGATGTGCAGCAGGTACAGGAGCGACAGCGACCAGAGGGCTAATAAGAGGTATGAGAAGGGTGTGCGGATGGCCCAGATGAACTTATCTATTGCGTCAAATAGATCTTTGAATTGCTGGGAATATACTACTCTCTTAAGCTGTGCACATAGCATATCACATTTCTTTGTGGATGCGAGTTGCTTTGCGTTGCCAAATGTGAATCCGTATTGATAGAATGTGGATACAACGCTACCACATTTTACAACCGATTCACACTTACAGGCTTCTTTGTCGCCGTGCTTACCGCTGCCGCAGTTACAGGATGAGCATCCATATGATTTGCATTGAGCATTCTGGATGGCCTTAAGGAAGCAATCAAGCAATTGCCAGAATCTCCATGCTAGGTGTACGAACCATGACAGGTGAAGTCCAGCCTGTTTTTGAGAATATGTATGATAGGCATGGACACACAGAGGCTGCATATATTGACCGCATGTGCCTGGGATTTTGCAGTTCGAACGGAAGGTCAGACTAGCTAAGTCCGAGTGGGTGCTCGACAGCGTCTTGGGGTCTGCATCGTCTGCAGGAGGATTGTTGTGATTGTCGACAGATTTCTCTAATTTAGTCAGTGCGTTGGTGAGAATGGCATTACTGAAATTTTCGTGATACCACTTGTGCAGTGGGAACGCAGCCTCTATGGTCTCATCGGTCAAGTGCTGTATAAAATCGGCATTTTGGCCATATCGTAAACGGTCAGTTCTACTGTCTACTTTCCTCCATTGGAAGAAATTGCAGAATAAGGAGAACATGTCTGGTAAACTGCTAGGTGGGGATGGAGACACAAATTGCAGACATCGCAGCAGAGCGCAGAGGGGAGACTCTGCATCTTTACAGAAATCGGAAAGCACAACATATATGTCACGCCCCTTTTTGTTTATAGACGCCGAAGTTGTCAAGTCCCAGAAACCCATAGGTGTCAGACACGGTTGGCCAGGGGACATCTTAGGACAAGTGTTGCAAGTTGACTTACAGCCAACAGACGTTACCGCGTGCGGCAACATTCCGGGAAGGCTGTCGGTCAAGTGTGCCTGCAGAGGAGATTTCGGGACACATTCCGCATCGGAGTGGGATGAGTTTTTACACGGCAACTGGTAAGCGGAGACATCTTTGCCGTAGCGGCAATCACGCCAGCCGTTGGCCGTAGATGCGTCGTATGAGCATCGTGTGCGTAAGAAGTAGAGAGATCGAAGTAAACGTGAGCACATATCTTTCAACACATCGATCAGAGTAGAGACGCTATCTGGATAATGGAAACCACGGGAATTGTCCGCGAAATTGCAAGCGTAGGGGTAGTCGGCGGTCTCTGCTCCACGGCCGTAACCGCAGATGGTAACAAGTATATCTCTCGCCTGAGTACAAGTTGGATGCAAGCTTCCAACCAATTCTCTTCTAAAAATACTACTCATTACTGTATCTGGTTCTTTGCCATTTTTAGTGGCGTCATCGGTTTCTTTTTTGAGCATCGTTTCACAATGTGGTTTAATGCTCTGATAGACTCTAGTGTATGGGAGTCCGCAAAGGTACGTCAACATGTCTCTAACACTGCAGGGATACTTAGGGGAGTCGTGGAGTCTAAGGTGACAGACATTGTAGTAAGTGGATAAGCAACGATGTAAATCAACAATTATGCCGCCGTCGTAAACATCATCATCTGACGATGGGAGCATGATAATGTTGTTATTTACGAGGCGATCAAGGATATCCTTACCTTTCATTTTATCGCTATTCTGCAATTCGCCGTGATCTCTCTCAACGGAATCTGAAACGGTGTAATCACATGAACGTAAGAATTTACCGAGACCGTTAGTGCCATGCGAATTAATCTTTTGATTTTGCCAATCCGAAGAACAATAAAGCCTCAGTTTGGACAATTTGTGATTCATCATGGGAAGTATAGTTAAAAGTATGCTGGCACAATTTTTGCCTTCAGGTGTCAACTTTGTCTTTTGACCAGCGCCTTGGTCAGCTCCTTGCCCAACGTTTTGGTCAGTGTCCTGAGTCACCCACTGAGTGATCGGCTGACACCCCTCGTACTTGTTAACGTACTGCTTCTGCAGCTCTTTTACAAATGCATTCATTCCGGTTTTCAGCGCCCCTAGTACGGGCCGTCCGGCGTCCGGCAACTCCAGTGGTTTCAGTCCGTCGACTTTTTCGGACAGCTTGGAGAGCCTGTTGGAGACTTCGTGGGAGAAGTGTTTGGACTCCGAAATGCCAATAACAATATTTCTGAAAACCATGCACAGTAGTTTGATTTCTTTTGTAATTTTATAGTCTCCCTTTGCTTGTGTTTTTACTTCATTTTGTATATAATCGGTAACTGGTATAAGGAATAAGTCGAGGTAACTGGCCGTGAAAAATAATTCATTCTGGTTTTTTACAGTGTCAAGCATGCCTTTTTGCTTATTCATCTTATCCAAAAGACCTTTCACGCCGCTTTCCTTATCCTTCCTAATGATCTCGGTGATCGCAGCGTTTTGCTCGTTTACGAGATCTTTCAACGCCTTTAAGTCCGCCTTATGCTGCTCGCAGAACACCTCTTTTACCTTGTCGTAAACAGCCTTGAAGGCTTGAGTGACTTTGTTGTTGAGGTGAAGTTGCGTGTCAGTGATTTCCTTTTGCAGAGCGTAACGGGCTGATTCAACTGTGTCTTTGGCAGTGTCAATGGCCGTTCGAAGAGACGTGTTAAATGCATTGATTTGTTCACTAATGTTCGTAATACTGCTCTTAAGCTCTGCAACACGCTTCTTTAGTGACTCAACCCGCTGCTTAATTTCATTATTGGCCTTGTCGTTAACCGCTTCCGTGAGTTCCTTCAGATCACTAATCTGCTTCTGAAGAGACTGAACCAGTTGGTAAATATTGTCCGCTTGCACAACGGAATCCTTATTCAATTTATCGATGTGCGTCTTGATATTCGGACTAATATCACTAAGACCATTGTTAATGCAATGCCACACCTTAGCATTTAACATGGTGATACCTTTCTCCCCCGCAGAAGTGAGCAGTTTCTCCAGTGGAGATTTGAAATCGCCCTTGATGGCTTCAGCGCTGGCCTTAGATTGGATTGCATTTCCAAGCTTGTGTGGGTCGTCTACAGCTTTAACTTCATCTCCAAGCCTATTACCAAGTTGCTTAACCTCTCTGATAGCTACCTCCACGTTCCCAATTTTTGCCTCTTCGGCGAACCATTCAAGTTCCGTCGCAGCTTTCGTGACTTTGGGAAGGAGTTGTTTAAGCATATTATAGATGGCAGTTTGAAAAGTAAATTCTGGATTGTAACCGCGTTCTTCGGTATTTTTCTGCAAAACTCCCTTGTCAATTGCTGTGGCTATCTCCTTAACAAACGGATGTGAATCACCGGACGTTGTGATCTTCCCACTCTCCAGCTTTCTTGCAAGCGTTGTGGCGAATTTATTGCAAGCATCTCGGGCATCAAGAATCATTTGTTTAATGTTATTGCTTTCAGCCAGGTAGGATGGGAAGTTTGCGGAAATCCTTCTTGTAAGCTCATCCTTAATTGTCCGTATAAAAGTATCTTTGTTACTATTATCGTTAACATACTTCCCAATCCTATGCTTAATCGTACCTTTATCATCCAATATATCTTCCATCCATTTTTGCAGTGTTTTTTCAAGCCCATTATCCCTCCGCCCCTGGGTGAACTGTTCAGCGTACTGCCTCGCAATATGGACAATTTCATCTAACTGTCCGTCTATACCATCCTGATGCGCAATATTACCAGCAAACGATGATATTTTATCTATAATTTTCCGAGGCAACTCACCCTCAACATAAGCTTTAACGTTCCTTTTTATTTCTTGCTTGAGCGTCTCAATTGCCTGTTGTAAGTCAAGTTTAATATTTTCCAGCCCGGTACCCAAATTAATTCTCACAGCATTTCCAAGCCCGCCAAGCTCTACCAACTTTTCCTCAAGCGCCTCCAACTGCTTACCAACTTCAGTGAACACTGTATTTAGGCCACTTGAAATTGGGGTGGTGTCAAGTGGTGTGACTTGCTCATTTATATCGTTCAATTTCTGAGCAATCTCAGAATCGTATCTCGTTACTAGATTGTTGGCGTCTTTATCTGCAGTGATTACGCTTGTCTCCAACTTCGCGACCAACTCTAGCAACTCCTTCAACTTGGTGGTACGCTCTTCTCCAATCTTATCAATATCAGCATTTATGGCTTCAAACTTTGTCTTTAACGTGAGTTGCAGAGCTTTACATTTCTTCTCTATTTCGTCTCTGACATGCGCTTCCTTCGCATCCATTTCACTATCAACCGCCTTCACCTTAGCGGCAAAGTCACCGTTCCCTGCCACACTCTGCAAGTGCTCGACAACCTTAGTTATCGGGTCTACTTTGTTCATTATTTGTGCGCTAAGTGTAGGATCTAGTGTCTTAATATTACGTGTTTCTATGTCATTAAGTTCAAATTTAATCTTCTGCACGGTCGACGTCCAACCCATTAGTTGAGTGCCGAGCCCAGAGTTCTCTTGATTCTCCACTTCCTTGTAATACTCATTTCCACCTGCACCAGATGAACTGTCACTATTTAACTTACCTATAAGTGTAGATAATCCATCGGTCACTGCTCCAGTCTTCTTGCCAACTTCCTCATTATATTTCCCCAACCACCCCTTCACACTGGCGACAGACTGAGAAATGCCAGAACGCCCGGAGCCAATTGAAGAAGTAAGAAGTTGAAGAACACTGTTCAAATTAGCATCACTACGAAGATTATTATCATATTTCGTAACGTTATCATCACCTTTCACTCCGCTGAGAACACCATGAAGGAAAGACATCACCCCGTCGCAGAGCCTGTCCAGGTCCGAGTACACGATGCCAGAGCCATCGTAGCCTTTGGAAGTTTCTTGGTAACCAAGGAACTTCTCCAAGCCAGAACACAGGTTATTTAATAATGTTTCACAATGATTTTCTTTATTCTGTTTCAATGTCTCAAGTTTCTTTCTAAGCTCCTCAAGCTTCTTATGCTGAGGACAGTCAGAAGAGGCATGAGGCTGCGGAGACTTTTGACAGCCATTATGCTGCTTTGTAAGCCTCGCAATTTCTTTATCAATTAGTGTTTTAACGCTATCTTCACCGCCACTAAACTGTGTAAGCTTCACAATAACATCAATGCCATGATGCACCTCCCCCTCAAGGGAGGACGCACGCTGCTTGTCCATGTAATGGGACTTAGTGCAGTCATCTTTGTTGGATTTACAGCGCTGTATTTCAGCTTCTAAAGCATTTATTTGTGATATATCAGAGGATTTTTTAGCTTTTTGAAGTTCATCATTTTTGGACTTAATAAGTCCATCAAGCTGACTACAGTAGGAAAGAGGATCATGTGGATTTGGGGAGCAAGAGAGCTTGCCGGATTTGTGAGAGAGAGTGGCAGGTGAAAAGAAAAATTAAAAAGAATTATTTTACGCACATTTTCAGGGTGATTTGGGGGATTTTGGGGAAAGGTCAAATTAGGGTGAAGGACGCCGACGGAGGAGGTGATGGAAGGGGGTGATGGGGAGGGAGCAAAGCGGCCAGTGAAAGAGGAGGTGAGTGGTTGAGTGGGTGAGTGGGTGGGTGGGTGGTTGAGTGGGTGACTTAGGTGAGTGAGTGGGTGAGTGGTTGAGTATGTGAGTGGGTGGGTGGGTGAGTGAGTGGTTGAGTGGGTGGTTGAGTGGGTTAGTGGTTGGGTGAGTGACTGGGTGAGTGGGTGAGTGAGTGGGTGGTTGAGTGGGTGGTTGAGTGGTTGAGTGGTTGGGTGGGTGAGTAGATGAGTGGGTGGGTGGTTGAGTGGTTGAGTGAGTGAGTGAGTGGTTGAGTGAGTGAGTGGGTGAGTGGGTGGGTGATACACAGATCACACGTGAAGGCACGATTATGGTGAGAAGTACTTGACGTTGGCGAGTGCCTTGACGCGTGCGGCGGCGAGGAGGGACTGTGCGGCGATGCGGTGGCTTGAGGGCGATCTCAGGTGGGAGCGTATCCTCAGGACGTCGAGGCGGACGACGGTGATGTGCAGCAGGTAGAGCAAAGTGAGGGACCAGAGGGCTAGTAAGAGGAAAGTGAAGAAGTTGAGAAATGTTGAAGGATTATTTTAGGCACATTTTCAGGGCGATTTGGGGGAGTTTGGGGAAAGCCGATTTCAGGTCAAGGAGGCAGCGAGGGAGTGAGGGAGTGGAGTGGACAGGGTGAGGGAGGTGAAGCGGCGAAAGAGGGCGATGAAGGGGGAAGATGGGTGGAGGTAAGGCGATTTTAGGGGTGGAGGGAGAAAGGCGGAAAATGAGGATTTGGGTGAAGGACGCCGACGGAGGAGGTGATGGAGGGGGTGATGGCAGGGAGCGAAGCGACCAGTAAAAGCGGGATGGTTGATTAGGGAGTGGTTGAGTGGGTGGGTGGTTGAGTGGTGGTG